CCAGTCATATTTGTGCTTTAGAAAGTCACTGACAGGGACACCTGGGTGGCTCAGTCGGTTAAGCATCTGACTCTTGATTTCAGCTCAGGTCATGATCTTGTGGTTTGTGAGCTCGAGCCCCACTCGGGCTCTGTGTTGATGGCGTGGAGCCTGCTTGGGATTCTCTCTCTCTTCCTGTCGCTCTGCTCCTCCCCTACTCACTCTTTCTCTGTCTCTCAAAAATAAATAAAAAAAGAAAAAGAAAAAGTCAGTCAGTCACTGGCAGCCCAGGAGGGCTGGCTGGGAGAGGAAGGAGTGCAGTACTGGAAGACAGGCCAGCTAGGAAGCTGCTGTAATGCTTCTGGGCAGTGAAGATGAGAAACATCATTATGTGTGTTTAGGGAAGGTTGATTTCTTTGTTAAAATAAAGGAACTGTGAGATTATTCCTTTTTTTTTTAAGAAACAAAATTATTTTCTTAAAACCAATAATTTTCCTGAGTTATTGTGTATGTTTGGCTTCTTAAAGCAGGGCATACTTTTATGGATTTCAAAAGGGAAGGAGGGTAAAAAACCCTTCCCTCTTCTCTTGACTACCTGGCACAGGAGAAATAAACAGTTGGCCTTCCGGGGTGGGGTCAGGGGGATCCACATCATAGGCATGCTACAGCCAGCATTAGGAGTGCTTTGGGGTGCCATGTTCTGCTTTTACACTAGACACTTGGCCCTGTGCTGGACAGAAGACTAGTAAATAAAGAGCTTGTCTTTGAGGAAATTACCATCAAGCAGAAGGTTGGTGGGGGAACATGACAGCCCCAGCAGAAAAATAATTAAAGCAGAGAGTGAGCTGTTATAAAAGCTGAAGAGTGCAGAGGAGACAGTTCTGCCTGGAGATGCCCTGGAAGCCTCTGCACATGTGAGCGGGGTTTGAAGGACATGTGGAAGTCCCTCCCTGGGGGCTGAAGGGGACAAGCATCCCTGGCCCCTGAGAAGGAGGCATAGCATCCTGATCACGCTGTGGAAGTTAGCAGAACTCACAGGTCCTGCCCACTCCTGATCCTGAAAGATAATAGCTCAGGATAATCTTCCCAGTTACCTAAGGATCAGTGTAATTGGTTCTCCTATAGTGATCTCCAGTTCCTTTTTCAGTTCTCAGTTCTTTTTCTTTCTTTCCATTCAGACCTAAGATTAGAGATGCCACACACTAGCTTTTTTAGGGATTATTTCTCCTGGAATCGTGATTAACGAACACTCCATTTCCTGAACTGATTGCCTGAAGTGCATTGTTTACATGAGGCATTAAGGGAAACATTATTGTTTCAGACCCAGTTAGTTAGGATTTGCAGTAATCTGGATCAGACAGAGTTTGATGGCTTATACGTTAGGAACAGAGTTTGCTAAATAAATTAATATTCTGTTAAATACGATTTCAAGAATACCTAACCTAGTTATGGAAAAAGTGAGGTGTTTGGTTTTTGTTCTTTCCTTTTTTTAATTTAGTGGGTTCTAGTATACTTTTCAAAAATAAATCTTGTATATTCATTAAAGCAGACTTAGTAGGAGTTATTTAATTGTTAATTTTTTAAAGCAAGTAAGGCATGAGTACATTCTCGTTTTTTAAAACAAATGACAGAAGTAGCTAAAATTAAAAGTATATGTCCCCTTTCACCAACTGCCTGTACCTTCCTTTTTTTAAGCGTTTACAAGCACACACATTTAATAGCATGTTGTATGTTTTGTGCACTTAAAAAACATGATCTGCCTTGGGCACCTGGGTGGTTCAGCCAGTTAAGTGTCCAACTTCAGCTCACATAATGATCTCACAGGTTCGTGAGTTTGAGCCCCACATCAGGCTCTCTGCTGTTAGCACAGAACCTATTTCAGATCCTCCGTCCCCTCTCTCTCTGCCCCTCCCCTGCTTACACTGTCTCTCAAAAATAAACATTAAAAACATTTTAAAAAAACCAAGATCTTCCTAATCTATAATTAGCTCTTTTCTTACAACGGCGTGCAGTGGATGGTTCCTTATGACCGTGCCTATATGTCGACCTCATTTTTTTTTTTAAGTAATCTGTACACCCAACATGAGGCTTGAACTCAAGACCCAGAGATCAAGAGTTGGATGCTCTACCGACTGAGCCAGCCAGGCACCCCTGCTTCATTCTTTTTAAAAGGTGTATAATGTTCCATCTTGTGGCTGTCCTGTGATTGATTTATTCATTTGCCTGTTGGTCAGTATTTAGATTGTTTGCCATCTTTGCCATCACAAACAATGCTATGGTTGTCTTTTTTCAAATCTTTGTGTTCGTGAATGAGTTTCTTCCAATAAGACTTATATACTAGTAAATTCTTGGTTAGTATTTAGAGTTGATGTTTATATTTGGAGATTAAAAAAAATATTTTTCTTTAGAAATATTCAATTTCTTAAAGATATTTATGAATGGCATATCGGATAAAGGGCTAGCATCCAAAATCTATAAAGAACTCCCCAAACTCCACACCCGAAAAGCAAATAATCCAGTGAAGAAATGGGCAGAAGACATGAATAGACACACTTTTCCAAAGAAGACATCCAGATGGCCAACAAACACATGAAACGATGGACAACGTCACTCATCATTAGGGAAATACAAATCAAAGACACACTGAGATACCACCTCACACCCGTCAGAGTGGCTAAAATGAACAAATTAGGAAACTATGGATACTGGCGAGGATGTGGAGAAATGGGAACACTCTTGCACTGCTGGTGGGAATGCAAACTGGTGCAGCTGCTCTGGAAAACACTGTGGAGGTTCTTCAAAAAAAATAAAAATAGAATTACCCTATGACCCAGCAATAGCACTGCTAGGAATTTAACCAAGGGATACAGGAGTGCTGATGCATAGGGGCATATGTACCCCAGTGTTTACAACAACACTTTTCAACAATAGCCAAATTATGGAAAGAGCCTAAATGTCCATCAACTGACGAATGGATAAAGAAGATGTGATTTATATATACAATGGAATACTACTTGGCAATCAGAAAGAATGAAATCCTGCCATTTGCAGCAACGTGGATGAAACTTGGAGGGTATTATGCTACGTGAAATAAGTCAGAGAAAGACAAATATACGTTTTCACTCATATGTGGATCTTGAGAAACTTAACAGAAGTCCATGGGGGGGGAGAAGGGGGGAAAATAGTTACAGAGAGGGAGGGAGGCAAACCATAAGAGACTCTTAAATACAGAGAACAAACTGAGGGTTGAAGGGGAGTGGGGGAGAGGGGAAATGGGTGATGGACATTGAGGAGGGCACTTGTTGGGATGAACACTGGGTTTTGTATGTAAGCCAATTTGACAATAAATTATATTTAAAAGAAGTATTCAATTTCTTTCAAATTCTGATGTCTTTTCTGTAAATAGACTTGTGACATCTTCTGTGGAGCATTCCGTTGAGCCACTACATGGGATAGTGTCAGCAGTTTTATTGTGAACTATTGCCAAAGGCAGTGTCAGGAAAGGGACTTCATAGCGTAGAGGTAGAAATTAGTTCTTGGTTCATCTTCCTCCTTCCTATCCTGATACCAGATTAGAGGTTCTGTAGACTGGCTTGCCCTGTAGTAAAGCATGAATGCACTCTCATTTTTTAAAAATTAGAAGTACCGTGTAGGATCTAGAACATAGAAGTGCCCTGCCTTTGCATTCAATAAAAACCATGAGAAAACCGGAGCCCCTGATTTACTTGATTGTTTGTTTTCATGTTTCCTCTGTGTACCTCTCTTTCTTTTCCTCTCTGCATGAATTGTTAACATTTCTTTCTGGGGCTGTTGCCCAGATTAAAGCCATGGAAAAACTTGTGGCTGTGTGTAGTTCCTATTTGGTACCTCTGACACCAGAAAAAAAGAAAAAGTAATGGCAGGTACACTTTTGCCATTACATCCCTTTTCTTACAATGCCCCAAAATGGATATTTAGGGGAATCAGATGTCAAGTCCTTCCATTAAAATATACCTCTCTAATATTTAAATGCTGATTTGTGTTTTCTTTCTAGGATCTGACATATTCTTAAAAGATAGAAAAATTCTTATGCTTCCATTTCTTTCCTTTTCCTATGTAATTTTAATGTTTACTTAAAAACAAGAAATAATCTAAATCACTTAGTTATCAGACCAGCAGGATGTCCCAGAAAAACAGAAAAATCCTCTGACTAAAAAGGTGAAAGAAGGCCCAAGGGGGATGGGTTGAATACACTTTGGTACCTCCACATAATATAAAATAGAATGAAGGCTCTGTCAGCATGGGAAGATCTCCAGGATTATACTGTTCAGGTGAAAAAATCATGCAGAGAGTTTGTAGAATATGTAAATATTTCTGTAAGAGAGGGAGAGAAATAAGAATTTATATTTGCATTTGCTATTATTTGCATAAAGAAACCGAAGAGTACACGAGTGATAAGTAAAAGTGTTTATTTCTGGTAAAGGAAGGGAGTGGGTGGGAGTAAGACTTTTTCTAGCACACCTTTTTATAGTGTTCTAATTTTTAAATTATTACTGTATTACTTATTCAAAGATAAAAGTAATTTTCGAAAGGAAGTTTTACATTATTAGGTAAAGGGTGAACTAAATCTGACCTCATTTAAGTCCACTATTTATGTGACCTCACCTGTCACATTTGAGCCTTAGTACCCACTGGGGTAGGGTCAGTTGCAGGACCATCTATTTTGGGGAGGAAGGTACTAAATTCTATAATTAGAATCTGTATGGTAATTTAGGTTCTAACTGCTTTGGCAAGAAATTGAAAAGGCACATCTGTATTTAAGCTGTTTCACTTAGCGTATTCACTCTTGTTGGGTTTATTCTTTTTTTCCCCAAAGTAATTGAAAACCTTAAAACATGATGCTCATGAGTCACAGCTGGAATCTCTTGCCGATGCCTCAGTAAACACAGAAAGTGAACTCAAACTATGGTCTTGAGACATTTTGTCATGCTGAAGTCTGTGTCCTAGAGAAAGTGTTATAGTCTGAGCTTTCATTTTTACAGGAGCAGGAAAATTCAGATCCGAAACATCCCTCCTCACCTGCAGTGGGAGGTAAGCCAGTGTCACCTGTGTGTTTACCGTCTTCCTGCCCTCCATCCTCATCTTCCTTTTTAATAGGTCAGCAAAACCGCTCTCCCTCTGTGAGTTCCCTGGGGAATTAGAGGTCCTCATACCTCTCCACAAAGCTCCTGCGTGCTCTGTCTTCCTTTTTCAGTATCCTAATGTATGTGATCTGTCACAACTTTAGGGTTGTGTTCGTCTCTTTTTTGTTGTGCAAGATGTGTGCTTTGAGCCCTCCTGTTCTGTCTTCTCAGGCACCAAGCACTGACAAACTATGAAACAAAATGTATACCTGGTTTGTGATTTTTCGGTCATGATTCTGTAAAAGACTTTTTACCTTTCCAAATTATGATTTTGGAGAAATAAAATCAGTGGAAACCCAATAAAAATAGAAGATTGTTAGTTTGAGTAGGTTTTTTGTTGATTGTGAATGAGTTGCTATGAGTAATAGTGAAGATATAGTTTCAGAGTTGTAAAACTTCTTATAAGATTGCTACCTTAAAATTCAAGAAGACAGAATGTGAGGAGTGGCCTCATTGCATTATTTAAAAACAAACTGCCCCAATGTTTATTTCCAACCCAAACAAAATCAAAACAGCCTTAAAGGAAATAGAATGTTTTGTCTGACATTTTTATTACTTAAAAAAAATCCTTTATTATGGAAAATTTCAAAGTAAAAAAATATATATGTCCCACTGCTTTGTAAAATAAGGAGATCCCTAGAGAAAAACAGAAGGAAGAATGGTTAAAACTTGTAAGAAGGGCAAGTAAACCTTGTCCTTTATTCTGCTTGTCCTAAAGCATTGTGCCTCAACCATCACGATGGATGTGATTGTTAACAGTAAGACTCTGAAATTCTGCTGTGTCACCTTAGTGGACAGATTACTTGAGAGCTAATAACCAAGTGCAAGTCCCATATATTTATTCATTTTTAACTGTTTTGATGGAAGACCTGAAATATCAATTTAGTTAGATTATTCCTGTAACTGTCCGTGTTTTGTTTTCGTTCATTTGCTGGGAGATATCACTATACTATTTTTGTGTGTGTGAGTACAATCTTATCTTCCTGTTCTGACATGGGATCTCTCTTTTTCAGGTGCTGGATGGACTTTTGGCTCAGTATGGGACAGTGGAGAATGTAGAACAAGGTATTAAGTGAGCAAATTAGCCTATTGAATTTTGAGTGGGATTGTTATCTGTTATAGGCTGGGTCAGCTCCAAAGACAAATAGTAAATTCAGATTCTTTTGAAACAAGCTTTCTCTGTTACAGATATTCAGATCTTTTTATCCATATCTATAAAATTTATTGTTTCAAAGAATATGACTTTCAGGTTTGGTTTATATATAAAGTGTATATATATATATATATATTCTGTTAATGTGCTCTCAAACACTGTCAGGCTAGGGTAAGCTTAATTCACTTGGAAGTAATTGAATTTATGCTGTCACAGTTTTCTTTTTCCTGGCTAAGAACAACAGATCACTAGTGTCTTAGACTGAGTGTTTCTCAAGGAGTAGGACTCCTATACCAGAATCTCCCACAGTGCTTATGAAAATGCACATTCCTGGGGTTCACCATAAACTGACAAAGTAAGACTCTTTGGGGCAAGAGTTGATGAATCTGTATTTTAAACAAGCACCCCCAACTGATTTTTGTGTGTACTCAAGTTTGAGAGCCACAGGCTTAGGACATCAGTATTGGACATCCACAGAAAATATATACCCTTCTTTCTGCTGCTCTCGCTTATATCATCTAAAACATGAATTGCTATGATTTTAAACAGTAAAAAGTTTTTCTTTAAAAAGTTTATCTTTTTAAAGAAATTGATACCTCACATAGCTCTTTAAGAGTCCCCGAAAAGTAGATTCCAAGCTCCTGATGTGGCAAGCAGTAACATGTGATAAAGATTTTTTTCTTTTGGCCTAAAAAGCAGAATGTGAATGCAGTTATTTACTGACTGTGAAGCCCTGGGAAAAGTCACTTAACCCTCACTGACTCAGTTTCCACATGTATAAAATGGGGAGAATAAATTCTATCCCTTCTATATCACTGAGTAGTTGTGGGATCCAAAGTGAACCTGTATAAAAATTTGTAGGCAACAGAGTCCTATATAATCTCAAGGGATTGTTAGGATTCACTTGGGAATGAATAATCACAGAGAACCAATTGTCTGATATGCAATCTGTTCTATCTGCCAGTATAATTAAAGTAATCATTTTAAAGTAGTAATTATTCAGCTGTTCTCCACTCCATGAATATTAAAAATATTATTATTCAATTTCATGCTGCTGACTGCCCATGCCCAAAGGTGAAGGGAAAGAGCTCAGAAAGAAGACATGATTTACAAGGATTCTGTTTCTCAGTTCTTGTTATTTCCCTCAACATGGAGAAGAAGACATTCTAATAAGGATTGGATGTAGTAGGCAAGATGGCCTCACAGACATGAGCCTGTAAAAGTTACTAGCTAAGACAATCTTATAAATTCAGGACACTGCCATGCGAGGAGGAAATACTGCAGGTCCCTGGGGCAGTGACAGCTCCTAGTGCACCTGTGCCCTGGAGACCATCCAGTTTCCAGCCGCCTCACAACTACAGGATAGAAGTGTTGGGCTTTTGTTTTGTTTTGTTTCATAGGTGATTCCTGATTCAGCAGGAAAATATTTTCAGTAGAGTTTTAAGAAACTTTTTAGAGCTTTTATGTCCAGCGAAATAAATTATTCGAATGGAGCTCAGTTCTTTCCAGAATCACAGAACTGTCTGATTTCCTGAAGACAAAGGTCTTTGAATAACAGAATATGACTAAGAAGTGAGAACAAAATCTGAGAATCTGAGAATCCTAGTGGATAGATTTATTCAGGAGGTTCAAAGCCATCCCTTTCTCCCTTTCTGGGAGTCGACAGCCTCATCTGGAGCACTAGAAAGCAGCAAATAGGAACCCTCGGGTACATTCTGTGTGTCAGCACTGAGAGAGGACGGTTGTGGGCTACTCATTCCCTGTTTTGCACTGTGAGAACTTCTCTGGGTAAGTGTGAATGAGAGGCAGCAAGAACACTCCCGGGCAGAGCCGGGCTGGGCTCAGCATTTATGACGTGTAAATCTCAATATCACCTCTTTCCTGAAGACTGTGCATCCCTTCCCTTTGAAGGTTGCAGCTATTTTGAAGTTATTGAATAAACAATATTTTTGACTGTGGTCTTTAACCTCTTTGAGAGTCTTATGGAGATTATAAACCAGAAAAATTCATACATCCATCCACACATTTGAATCTTTGGTTGTGGTGGAGGTGGGGGGAGGAGGAGGTGTTCGTGATGGTGGTGGTGGTGGTGGTGTGAGGTTATAAAATTTCTGAAGCTCTAACATGGATCCAAATTAGGAATCCCTATACTACAAGGTTTTATTATTACTTGGAAAGCAGCTTTATCATGGTTTTCTTGAATTAACTCTATCATTAACTTAATATGGTTAACTCCAAGTCTCCCAGTAGCTTAAATATTTTTTAAAAAAATTTTTAGTATTTTATTTATTTTTGAGAGAGAGAGAGAGAGCAGGGAAGGGTCAGAGAGAGAGGGGGACACAGATTCTGAAACAGGCTCCAGGCTCTGAGCTGTCAGCACAGAGCCCGATGCAGGGCTTGAACTTGTGAACATTGGGATCATGACCTGAGCCAGGGTCAGACACTTAACCAATTGAGCCACTCAGGTGCCCCATAGCTTAAGTGTTTTTTAAAGGGAGGATCTGACTTAGTCATAGCTACTTGTTTTGGGGAAAAACAGAATTTTTGGTTTAAGTTTACTGGCTTAGATTGAGAAAGTTTTATCTTGACTTCTGAATTTATTTTTAACTTCTGATTTTGGAAGAAGAGGCAGTTACGAACCAAGATAAGCCAGCTCACAAGAGTTTTATATTAGCCACTCTTAGAGTTTGTGTTCTCTCCTTCAACCAAATGACTTACAACTTTTCTTTATTTATTATACAGTTACTAATTTAACTCAGAGTCATGGAGCTCAGTCAAAGGGAAACAAAAATATTAATAATTCTACTTTAGGAATAAATGAAGAATTAAAATACTTTCTTATTTTATATGTATATCCAGTTATTTAAAAATAAATGCAAACATAACAGACTTCTACCTTGATGGTGGTACAATAAATTGACATAAACTTTTAGGAAAGTAATCTGAAAATATGCATTAAGAAGCATTATATTCCATTACCCAGTTATTTTTCTTCATGATTTAGCCTAAAAAAGTAATTCAGAAGAGAACACAATTCAAATGATATTTGCAGTAAAGCTGATTTTTAGCAACACGACTTAGAATAGCAAATATTGGGAATAACTCATTTGTCAACAATTGAGGAATGGCTTGTCAAAAATCATGGCACAATTACTAAAATGGACATTAGAAATGGAAAATACAAACATAATGAGCATATACATATGCACATGCAGTGGTATTATAAGTGAAAATACAGCTTTGAGCTGTATATACAGTTGATTACAGATATGTATATACAATTGATTACTATTTATGAATGCACATGAATAAAGACAGAGATTCAAATACTGTGGAGTTAGGGTGATGAATTTTTTGTGCATTCTTCTCTAAAGTTAGTCTGTTTACATTGAGCCAGAGGGTGCCAGCTTTTTTTTTCTATGACAGTATAGTTTTTGCTTCTTTCCTAGTCAACACAGACACAGAAACTGCTGTTGTCAACGTCACATATGCAACAAGAGAAGAAGCAAAAATGTAAGTGGATTTGGGCTTCTTTCCTTTTAAATTTTTGGAGGGTTGTCTTTGAATTCCAAAAAGATTCCTACCTTTGACCTGCCTGAGGAGCCTCAGGGCATCTGTGGATGCCTTTAATGTGTCAGTGGAGCTTAGGGCATTTATAATGGGATGGCTGTTTGTTGGTTGTACAGAGACTTTATCGTGAAAAATGTTGAGCCTTGGCATCAAAACTGAGGTGGGACCTGTGCCTGGACATGGTCATGAATAGAGGCACCAGCTCTGTGACATTCTGTCCTTGGTCCCTGTTGACCACAGAGCTTTTACCTGGAGCTTCCTCCATGCACTATGAGGAAGAAGCACAAGCCTATTTCTGTCCACACTTGGTGAAGAGATCATGAAACACCCATTTTTCCTCTGTGTAATATTAAAAAGGGGACCCATCCCCATGACATCAGCAACAGGGGGAATTGTCTGGGAGTGGTTAGTCAAAGATCACCTGGCTTGGGTTCTCATTCCTAACCTCCATTTACTTCCTAGTCCCCATGCATGAGTACCTTGTTTCAATGATGGTTAATTTTGAGGTTGGCAATTAATGGACATGGGATTGAGTTTTTAAAACAACTACAAGAAAACAAGTTCCTTTTTGTAGGAGGTCCTTAAAGTGAAATGCCTGTCAGGTCATTGTAACTACAGTTATGGTCACACATGTTTCATGCATATGGCATAACCTTGGTTCTACATCCCAGAATTATAGTTTTATTTATTTTTCAAGGTTTCAGCACACATGAAGACATATTTAACCCATCCTCATACCACTAGTCTTTAAGAAGTTAATTTTGCATTGAAAAAGGCAATAGATCATTTGCTGTTGACTTTAGCCACACACATATAAGCAAGATATATGCCAGGAACTCACCTTTAGAGTTTATATCCAGCTGCCACTTAGGTAGGACCTCCCATAGGTGATATTACTCTGTTGCTTTTATTGAATTCAAAGGTGCTGCTTTGTAATAAATTCACAAACACTAAACATTAATATAGTAGAATAGCATTGTTGTTTTCACATATTGCCAGAAAGCTTATGAAAAAAATGTTCTACTTCTATATAATTTTAAAAATTCAATAGTGGGATATCATTTATTCCCTATCAAATTGATAAATAATTTTAAATAATACTCCAGTTTTGAAGACTCAAGAAACAAATGCTGTCTTAACTGCTATGGGATAGTAAGTGTTGAAACCTTTACAGAAGCACACTGAGGGGTACTTAATAATATTGGGATTCTGCATTCTTTCTGACCCAGCAATTCCACTAGGAATTTGTCCTGTGTGCAGCTGTAGTTGCAAAAATGCCCACGACACTTAATAATAGATAAATAAAAAATTTTATTATGACATAATAAAAGATTGGATATAGATATATATCTAACGATAGGGAATGAGTTGCAAAAACTATGATAAATCAATAGTGTTAAACAGCCAGTAAAAATTAAATTGCAGGACATTTAGTGACTTGGAAAATGTTTAGAGTGTTAACTCTTTTTTAAAGATTAGAAAATAGTGTATGTAATATTAATCCTTGTTTATAAATGATAATTATATTTAAGAAAAAGATACAGGATGGACTAGGATTTTTTTCTAATCTGTACTTAACCATTTCTGAATTTTCAGTGATAAATATGTATTATGATCAAGCTGAGAAAAAAAGTGAGTCATAATTTTATACTAGTACTTACAAAGAGTTTTTGATGAGGAGGATACAGCCTCAGGCAGTGGAAAAAAAGCAGAATGCATAGTTGTGTATCAAGTCTGACCAGGCCTATATTTTGTGAATATTTAACTGTTAACCATCAGCTCTGAGGGAGCAAAGCCGGCACCTGCCTTGCTCACCAGGTTCTCCTCAAGGAGTAGTGCTGCTCACGTAGGCAACTAGGAAAGCAGACTGACTGACCCCGTCCACTGGCCTGAGGGTCTTCTTTGATGTCAGGGTCTAACAAGGCTCACTTGCTGCTGCTGCATTTCAGAGCCATCGAGAAGCTAAGCGGGCATCAGTTTGAGAACTACTCCTTCAAGATTTCCTACATCCCGGATGAAGAGGTGAGCTCCCCTTCGCCCCCACAGCGAGCCCAGCGTGGGGACCACTCTTCCCGGGAGCAAGGCCACGCCCCTGGGGGCTCTTCTCAGGCCAGACAGATTGATTTCCCGCTGCGGATCCTGGTCCCCACCCAGTTTGTTGGTGCCATCATCGGAAAGGAGGGCTTGACCATAAAGAACATCACTAAGCAGACCCAGTCCCGGTACGTGCCTCCGGGGCTTCCTTTGCTTCCTTCTGACAGGCCCCCTGAGTGCTGGTGGGCCCCAGTCATCCTAGGTGGCTATCGCTTGCATCAGCAGGGGGGCTGTGCTAAATGGGATGGTGGCTTCTCAGAACTACTAACAGACTAACAAAGCTGGGGACTTCACCGTGCTTTCATGCCAATAGCCTAAAGGTCATACCCTGAATTACTAAAGGTTCTTAAAGCGGCAGAGAATTATTCTCATAAGCTTACTAGTGCTTGTGAATATATCACTTTCTAAAACAGCAGAGGTATGGGGCTGAACTTTGTGGGATCCCAGAAAGCAGTTACCTTAGTTCTTACCTCCTCTCTTGAGCTGGAGCCCTGGATGGTAGTCATTCTTTGAGATCACTTAGGTGGTCCCATAAATAGCTACATAAAAGGAGTAAGTGAGTCTGCTGTATTGAGTGAGAAATGAAGTATATTAGCCTCTGTTTAGTCATCTAAGGAGATGGAACTGGTAGTAGGAGTTGTAGTGGTTTGTTGGTTTTTGTATGTTCTTAAGAACACAGCCTGATGTAACAAAGTACAGGATGCAAAGACCCCTGTTCAAGATTTACCACTAAATGTATAATCTTGGGGAAAAAAATAACTTCTCCAAGCATTAATGTCTTGTTCTGTAAGCCAGGATTATTGTTAGGATTAGGACAGCCAGGCAGATTGAATGAAATAATTGCTATGAAAGCATTTAAATTGCAAAACACCAAGTTACTGGCGAACATGAGTTCCTTACACGGCCTAGTGCACTTTATTCACGTCATTCATTGAGTATCTTGTAACCCGAAAGAGAAAAAACACTGTTTTCTTCAAAGTGTCTGAGTTACTGCCAACTAATGGACACTTACAGGTATGAGTCCCAAGTTCATGATCATAGCAGTGAAATGATGACCTAGTAGAAAGGGGAAGTACTGTCTGCTGTTCCATTGATTTTTAAAATCAGCCCTTTCTTCCCCTGCAAGTTTGCTTCACTGCAAAAGTAATTTTTAGTTGTGTCTTTTTGTTCCAAAAATTTCTTAAAGTGGCTTTAAAAGTGCAAAAAGTTTAAGTAGAAGTGTAACACGTTAGTTCTCAAAGTATGTGCCCACTTTTTTTTTTTACAAGTAGGTCAAAGACTTGGATCTGGGCTTTCTAACAGCCAAAATAAGAAGGGATACGATCAGTTATGTGATTTTCAGAGTCAACAAAAACAAGTAGGGCCACAACAACCCCACGGAGTCTGATAAAGTCATCAAGCTTTTGAGCCATTAGTTTTAAGAGCCTGGAAGAAGGCAGGCTGCCAGGGGCAAGGAAACCAAAAACTTAGGCAGAGAGAGGGCATGCCTCTGTTTTTAATCCACACTCAAATATACAAAGCTTGCTTGAATTTGGTGTTTGGATTTGGATTAACATGTGGCTTTTAAAAGCTACAATCAGTGCAGAGATTGGCACCATGCCAGCATGCAGCGTTACCCTGCTCCCTTTACCCTTTGCTTCTATGATCATTTGAAAGACTACACAAAATACTTCATTTACCAAACTGGCTTCATTACCAAGTGGGCTCAGTGCCTTTGTCCCACAGCACTCCTGCAAGGAATACTCCCTTCTAAATGAAACTGCAAAGTATTCAAGTTTGGCACAAGACCTCCTGCACTGCTTGCCACCTTATTGAAGAATGGCATTGGTTGCAAACGTGCTAATGACACTTCATGGTCTCTGTCCTTTTGCTGTACGTTGGCCCGTGCGACGCTTTCTCAAGACTAGGATCCTGTCCCAGATGACATTGTATTATGGCTTCTGATTCTTTCCCTACAGGGTAGACATCCATAGAAAGGAGAACTCTGGGGCTGCAGAGAAGCCCGTCACCATCCATGCCACCCCAGAGGGGACCTCTGAAGCCTGCCGCATGATTCTTGAAATCATGCAGAAAGAGGCTGATGAGACCAAATTGTAAGTTTGCATGTAATACCCAGATCACTTAACAGAGAATAAGAGTAAGTTCTCAGTCTTTTAAGACAAATTTTTTAAAAGCTGTAATTCTGTTATTTAGTTAAAGGGACCAGAGGACAGATTATTTTTAAGAAATTTGTTCCCGGGGCGCCTGGGTGGCTCAGTCGGTTAAGCGTCCGACTTCGGCTCAGGTCATGATCTCGCGGTCCGTGGGTTCGAGCCCCGCGTCGGGCTCTGTGCTGACAGCTCAGAGCCTGGAGCCTGTTTCAGATTCTGTGTCTCCCTCTTTCTCTGACCCTCCCCTGTTCATGCTCGCTCGCGCTCTCTCTCTCTCTCTCTCTCTCTCTGTCTCAAAAATAAATAAAAATGTTAAAAAAAAAATTAAAAAAAAAAAAAAAAGAAATTTGTTCCCAAGAAGGATACAGTAGGAAATAGATGTTTTATGTTTATAATATGGCTGTTTCTCCACTTACATGTTTCTTTCGGTGACCTGAATGCTTCCATCACCCATTACTAACATCTGTTTGTAGAAACATATAGATCCGTGCTAATGTTGTGCAATGACAGAAATGCTGTATATTTGCACTGTTCAATGTGATAGCCGTAGCTGCATGTTGCTACTGAGTGTTTGAAATGTAGCGAGTGCAATGGAAAAGCTGAATATTTATTTTAATTCATTCAAATTAAATAGTCACATTCATGGCTAATGGCTGTCATACTGGACCGTGCAGGTATGTATGGAATGTACCTTGTCATCAAAACCCATCAGTTACTGTTCCGGAAAACGTTTTTACCACCATGTTGCACTCGTGTAAATTTTCCTTAAGTAATAGAAACTGGTATCCAAGTAACTACTCTTCTTCCATCTCCTTCCTTCCTTTTCTGTTTTTTACAAAATACTTCTTAGGATTTCTGAGTGTCATACCAATCTGAATGGCAGGTATCGTTCTTACTAAACCCATAGACTTTGTATTGTAAACGAATTAATGATAATGGAATAGACAGCATAATGAAAAAAGTTCTGTCATTTTGGCAAAAATCCATTTATGGGTAGTTTGACAGAGAAGCAGTGAGGGATGAATCAAGTATAAAATTAATTTAGTAAATACAGTAATCTCAAATAAGAGTGTTTTAAAACCAAGAAGATGGAAGTAGTCCTTAAAAGGAAAACATTGCAAATCTCTTCTCGGATTTCATAAGGGACTCTAACATAGGAATTATTACTTATGAATTATTTACTCTGGGGCTTTCGAAACCCCCCAGATACCATGGCTTAATTTGAATAAGCCCTTCCCCCAACCAGGGTATTGAAAACTTTTAAAAATAGCACCCTTTTTGGTCCCTCAACCTCTGTACAAGCAACTTAGAATATTCTAATTAATCAAAAAGACTGAGTTATAAATTAGATTTTTAAGTTTTTGTGTAGAGCCGACATAGAGTTGGAACATCTTTGAAATTAATGTTTTTGAGTGCCACAGTGTGGTAAGCTGTAGATGAGCCGGAGATGAGGCTGTAACCATAAGCAAGACCCAGTTCTTGCTTTCATGGAGCTTACAGTCCAGTGGGAGAGTCCATTTGCTAAATGGATAGTTATAGGTAATTAAGTACAGCCACAAGAAGTGTGAGAGTAGAAGGTAGTTGCCTGTAGTTGAGACCTAATCAGGGTTTTCAGAGAACAGGAAGAGATTTTGGGGGCTTCAGAGAAGACCTCCCTGGGTAAGGACATTTAAGCTGAGCCCTGAGGGGGATGAGCAGGAGGTACAGGATGTAGAAGAGGGATCCTAAATTTTCTTTTTATTCATTTATCAAGTGTTTGTTGAGCATCTACTATGTGCCGGCACTGTTCTGTGCGCCAGTGAACAAAGCCAACAAAAATCCTGCCCTCTGAATACATTCTGGTGGAGTTTCTTTTTTACTGTTGATAGTAGCAATGCATCTGGTACATGCCTTTGGTCCTAACTAGCAAAAAAAAAAACATAACAAGTGACTTTGACATTAAGAAACAATATTGTTCTGTCACATAATGAGAAGTCCAAAGATGGGTGGCTCCAGGGTCAGTTGAATCATGGACTCAGAGACCCACAACCTTTCTTTCTACTTTATCTTCCTCAGAGGTATCTGATGCTCCCGTGGTGATGACAGGATGGCTATAGTAATTTCAGACCTTGTGTCCCCACAAAAAAAATAGTCAAAAGTTGAAAGAGAGAGCATCCTTGTTCCTTCTGTTTTGAACATTTTTTGGTTCAAAAACACATAAAATTTATCATCTTAACCATTTTTTAATTGGGGTATAATTGATAGATAACACTATATTTCAGTTATCCAACATAATTATTGAGTATTTGTATATATTGTGAAATGATCGCCACAATTAGTTAACCTGTGTCATCATACATAATTATAATTTTACAATTTTTTTCTTGTGATGATAACTTTTAAGATTTGCTCCCTTAGGAACTTTGAAATATTCAATACAGTATTATCTGTAATCACCATGCTGTACATTATATCCCATGACTTATTTTATAACTGGAAGTTTGTAACTTTTGACTCCCTTCACTCATTTTGCCCACCCCTCATCCCCTACCTCTGGCAACCACTAATCTGTTCTGTGTACGTATGAGCTTGTGTTTTGTTTTAGATTCCACATGTAAATGAGATTATGCAGTATTTGTTTTTCTCTGATTTATTTCACTTAACCATTTGTAAGTGCACAGTTCAGTAATGTTTTATATATTCACATTATTGTGAAACAGATCTCCAGAACTTTTTCATCTTGCAAAACTGAAATTGTACCCATTGAACAACTCCCCTTTTCCCTCTCCCTCTAGCCTCTGGTAACTACCATTTTACTTTCTGTTTCTATGAATTTGACTACTTTAGAGACCACATATAACTGGAATCATGCAGTATTTGTCTTTTTGTGACTGGCTTATTTCACTTAGCACAATGTCTTCTAGATTCATCCATGTTGTAGCATGCGAAAGGATTTTCTTCCTTTTTAAGGCTGAATAATACTCCATTGTATGCATACATCACATTTTATTTATTCATCCATGGATAGACTTTGGGTTGCTTTCACCTTCTGGCTATTGTGAATAGTGCTGTTATGAACATGAGTGTGCAAATATCTCTTTAAAATCCTACCTTCAATTCTTTTGAATTGAGAAGTGAGATTGCTAGATCATATGGTAGTTCTATTTTTAATTTTTGGAGGAACCTCCATACTGTTTTCCATAGCAATTACATCATTTTATAATACCAGTAATGCACAAGGGATTCAATTTCTCCATATCCTCACCAGCACTTGTTATTTTCTGTTATTTGGATGGTAGCCAAAAGAATGGGTGTGAAATAATATTTTGTGTTCACAGTATCTCTTTGGTTTTTACTTGCATTTCTCTGATGATTGGTGAGATTGAGCATTTTTTCATATGCTTATTGGCCATTTGTATACATTTTTGGAGAATGTCTGTTCAAGTCTTTTGCCCATTTTTAAAATGGGTCATTTGAGGGGGGTGCCTGGGTGGCTCAGTCAGTTAAGCATCCAACTCTTGGTTTTGGTCAGGTTGTGATCTAACAGTTTCGTGAGTTTGAGCCCTACATAGGGCTTCTTGCTGAAGTTCAGAGCCTGCTTGGGATTCTGTCTCCCCCTTGCCCCCCCCCCCAACATATGCTATCTCGTTCTCTCTCAAAATAAATAAATACACTTTAAAATTTTATAAAAATAAATAAAATGGGTCATTTGATTCTTTTGTTGTTGAGTTGTAGGAGTTCTTAATATATTCTGGATTTAATCCCTTATCAGATATGTGATTTGCAGCTATTTACTTCTTTTCCCTAGGTTGCCTTTTCACTCTGTTGATTGTGTCCTTTGATGCACAAAAGTTTTTAAATTTGATGTTGGATTTTTCTATTTTGATGTTTTTTGCCTGTGCTTTTGTGGTCTCATGTCTAAGAAACTGTTGCTAAGTCTAATGTCATGAAGCTTTCTCCTGTGTTTCTTCTAGGAATATTATAGTTTTACATTTACGTTTATTCCATTTTGAGTTAATTTTTGTGTAGGGAGTAAGATAAAGGTGTAGCTTCATTCTTTTTCAGGTGGATATCCTGCTTTCCCAGCACCATTTGTCCTTTTCCCCACTGTGTTATCTTGGCACCCTTATCAAAGATCATTTGATCATATATGCAAGGGTTTATTTCTGGGTTCTGGGTTCTGTTCCATTGATTTCTTTGTCTGTCTTATTTAATTGTAGAGAGAGAGAAAGCACATGAGCAAGGAAGAGGGGCAGAGGGAGAGAAAGAGAGAATCTCAAACAGGCTCCACACTCAGTGCAGAGCCCAACACAGGACTCGATCGCACGACCCTGGAATCATGACCCAAGCCGAAATCAAGAGTTGGATACTCAACTGACTGAGTCATGCAGTTACCCCTATTTGTCTGTGTTGATGCCACTACCATGCTCTTTTAATTACTGTAGCCTTGTAATATGTTTTGAAATCAGGAAGTGTGAGTTCTCCAACTTTGTTCTTCTTTTTCAAAATTGTTTTGACTGTTCAGGGTCCCTTGCAATTCCAAATGAATATTTCTGCAAAAAATTCCGTTGGGATTTTGGTAAGGGATTGCACTGAAACTGTAGATCACTTTGGGTAGTGTGGACATTTAAACAATATTAAATCTTCCAATTCACGAACATAGGATGTCTTTACATTTATTTTTGTCTTCTTTACTTTCTTTCACCAGTGTTATATAGTTTTCAGTGTATAAATATATTACCTCCCTGGTTAGGTTTATTCCTAAGTATTTTATTCTTTATGATACTATTGTAAATGAAATTATTTTCTTAATTTTCTTTTCAGGTTGTTCATTGTTAGTGTATAGAAACACAATTGATTTTTGTATGTTGATTTTATATCCTGCAACTTTGCTGAATGAGTTTATTCTAACAGTTTTTGTTTTGTTTTCTTTTGTTGGAAATTCAGAGTTCTCTTTATATAAGATTATATTATCTGCAAACAGAGTCTTTAGATTTTCAATTTGGAATTGAATCAATTTCAATTTTTATTTCTTTTTCTTACCTAATTGCTCTAGCTAGCACTTCCAATACTAAGTTGAATACAAGTGGTGAAAGTGAGTATCCTTCTCTGATTCCTGCTCTTAGAGGAAAGCTTGCAGTCTTTCAGCATTGAATATGATATTCACTGTGGGCTTTTCACAAATGGCCTTTGTTAAGGTAGTTTCCTTCTATTCCTAGATTGTTACCTGTTTTTATCATGAAAGGGTGTTAATTTTTTGTCAAATGCTTTTTCTACGTCAAGTGAGATGATCATGTGGTTTTTGACCTTCATTGTATTAATGTGGTGTATTACATTGATTTTTATATATTGAACCCACCCTGCATTGCAGAAATATGTCCTACTTGGTCATAATGTATCATCCTTTTATGGTGTAATGCTTTTGGATTCTGTTTACTTGTATTTTGTTAAGGACTTTTGTATCAATGTTCATCAGGGATATTGGCCTGTAGTTTTCTTTCCTTGAAATGTCTTTGTCTAGCTTTGGTATTAGAGTAAAGCTGGCCTCATAGAATCAGTTTGGAAATGTTCCCTCTTCTTCAGTTTTTTGGAAGAGTTGGAGAAGGATTGGTGTTAATTCTTTTTTTTTTTTTTTTTTTTAATTTTTTTAATGTTTGTTTTTTGAGAGAGAGACAGAGCACAAGCTGGGGAGGGGCAGAGAGAGGGAGACACAGAATCTGAAGCAGGCTCCAGGCTCTGGAGCTGTCAGCACAGAGCCTGATGTGGGGCTCCAAGCCCCCCAAATCACAAGATCATGACCCAAGCTGAAGTCAGAGGCCTAACTGACTGAGCCACCCAGGTGCCCCTGTTGGGAGGTTTTTAATTACGATTCAGTCTCCTTACTCATTATTGATCTGTTCAGATTTTCTATTCAAGGTTCAGTTTTAGTAGGGTTTGTGTTTCTGGGAACATCCATTTCTTCTAGGTTATCTATTTTGTTGATGTACAACTATAAATAATTTTCTCTTGTAATGATTTTTATTTCTGTGACATGAGTTACACTGTCTTCTCTTTCATTTCTGATTTTAGATATTTGAGTGTTCTTTCTTTTCTTAGTTAATCTAGATAATGTTTGTCAGTTTTGTTGACCTTTTCAGAACAGTTCTTGGTTTCTCCTTTTTTCTCTCTCTCTCTTTTGCTTATCTTTGCTCTAATCTTTATCATTTCCATCCTTAAATTAGCTTTGGGTTTAGTTTATTCTCTTCCTAATTCCTTGAAGTTGTTGATTTGAAACCTTTCATTCTGTTTCTTTGGGTTGTTGTTTTTTTTTTTTTTTTAAATCCATTCAGCCAATCCATGTCTTTAGATTGGGAAGTTTAATTATTTTACATTTAAAGTAATTACTCATCAGAAAGATTTACTATTGCCATGTTGTTGTCTGTAAGTCTCATAGCTTTACTGTCCCTCATTTTCTCTCTTACTGCTTTCTTTTGTGTGTTTTTTCTTTGTTCTTTGCTTTTTGGGTGTTTTTAGTTATACTTTGAGTCCCTTCTCATTTCCTTTTATGTGTATATCCTATAGACATTTTCTATTTGGTTACCATTGCAATTACATAAAACATCTTAAAGTTATAGCATTCTATTTTAAACTGATAGCAACTTAACTTTGATAATATTCAAAAACTCTGCTCTTTTACAGCTCTATCCCCCCACTTTGTTATTGATGTCACATATTACTCTTTATGTATTTTATGCCCACTAACAGATTTATCTTTTTTGAAATGTTATTTAAATTCTATGCATCAGAATTCTTATAGTACAGGTTATATTCTATTTGTGTGTTTGTTTACTTTTACTAGAGAACCTGATATTTTCATATGGCTTTGTGTTGCTGTCTACTGTCCTTTTTTTCCATTAAAGGACTCCTTTTAGCATTTCTTATAGAGCAAGTGTAATAATAATGAACTCCCTTAGCTTTTGTTTACTGGGAAAGTCTTATTTCTCCTTCATTTTCAAAGGACACTTTTGCCAGTTACAGTATTCCTGGTTGATGTGTTTTTCTTTAAGCATTTTGAATATATCATCCCACTCCCTTCTGTCTTGCAAAGTTTCTGTTGAGAAAACTGCTAATAATCTTATGGAAACTCCCTTGTATGTGACTAATCACTTTTCTCTTGCTGCTTTCAGGATTCTCTCTTTGACTTTGAACACTTGAATTATAATATGTCTCAGTGTGGTTCTCTTGGGTTTTGTCCCAGTTAGAGTTCTTTGACCTTCTTGAATCTATGTGTCCATTTCTTTCCTGAGATTTGGAAAGTTTTCTGCCATCTTCACATGAGCTCTCTGCCTTCTTTCCTCCTTCTGGGATTCACATGAGTATCCGTTAGCATGGCCCATAAGTCCCTTAGCCTTTCTTTGTGCTTTTGGGGGGCTTTTTTCATTCTTTTTTCTTTTTCCTCCTTTAACTTCCTGATTTCAAATGACCAGTCTTCAAGTTTGATCAGTCTTTCTTCTGCCTGTCAAGTCTGCTTGTCGAACCTCTTTAATGAGTTTTTTTGATTTGGTTATTATATTTTTTAGTTCCATTATTTGTTTTTATAGTTTTTATCTTTGTTGATATTCTAATTTTTTCATGCATAGTTTTCCTGATTTTGTTTAGTTGTCTGTGTTCTCATTGAGTGTCTTTCTGACAGTTATATAAATTCTTTGTCAGGTAGCTCATAGATCTGCATTTCTTTAGGGTTGTTTTCTGGAGTTAAATTTTGATCCTTTGATTAGGCCATGTTTCCCTGTTTCTTTGTATGTCCTTTAATATTTTGCTGGGATTTGAACATTTGAAAAAACAACCATCTCTCAGTCTTTGTGTACTGGTTTCATTCAGGGGAAGACCTTCACTTACCAGCCCTGCTTATGGTCTTAGGGATTCTCAAACCTTTTCTCATCTCTTTCTTCCCCTGGTTTCTGACTGTAGAACTGCAGCTCTAACATACTGCTCAACTCTGTTTTCAGTGCCTTCCAAAACTCTAGCACCAGTCTCCTAAGTGCTCCAAGTCAGCAAGACAGAAACCGACCCCTTGGTGGCTCCTAGATAAGACATATGTTGAATATATGGTCAAGTCTTTGGTTTCCTTCCCATGGGAGGATTCCTGATAAGGGATATTTCCTCCCATTTGCTCCTAGCTATGCTGCATAGCGGAAGGAGCATGTACAGGCACACCAAACGCTGTAAATTTTCCTACTCCTTTTGCTAGAATCCTTTCTTGGTGGCCAAGGTGCTATAGCTTCTCAGCTGATCTCTAGAATTCTCACAGAGGTGTTCTAGTCTCTCTGTTGTTAACTTGATGTCTCTGTGGGGTTAGGAGAACCTGTGGCTTCCTACTCTGCCATCTGGCTGGTGTTCTTCCTTGTGTTTTTTAAGAGCAAGGAAACCTTCCTAAAGTCCTGTAACAGACTTCTCCTCTTACTTCCTTGGCTAGATTTGCCTCATGGCACCCACTTCCAATCAGTCTCAACAAGGGAATATAATTATTATGATTTGGCTTATGTTAATCAGAACTCATGTACTCTGGGATCACCATTTGATACCTAAACAAAATGGCTCCCATTTGTAAAGGGAACAAAAGTGGTTTAATAGCTATTAGGAGACGACCAATGTGCCCACCATAAGTGTTAAATTGTTGTTTGTCTCTTTTAGAGCCGAAGAGATTCCTCTGAAGATCTTGGCCCACAATGGCTTAGTTGGAAGACTTATTGGAAAAGAAGGCAGAAATTTGAAGAAAATTGAACATGAGACAGGGACCAAGATAACAATCTCATCGTAAGCCACCCATTCAGATTAATTGTGCCCAAAATGGAGAACTTGAGCATTTCGATATGCCCAACTCCTTCATCTACTTTTCCTTAAAATGGGAACATAATTATAAACGATGTAAATATATCTAACACCATCAAAACAAATACATAAATAGTTACAGTCAGACGTTTTCTACTATGGATATGAGCTAAGTCACCTCTAAGACGCGAGATCAGATGGCAAGTATTTGATACGACAGTGTGTGGTGAGGGAATCCAGTTTTCTCCCCACGTCCTCCACCAAGACTTGTTTGTGATCCTTCTGGGATTTTATTTTTCCTTTTGAAAAAAGGAAATCTCTCTTTTTTCCCGGTGGCCAGCTTGCAGGATTTGAGCATATACAACCCTGAAAGAACCATCACTGTGAAGGGCACAGTCGAGGCCTGTGCCAATGCAGAGGTAGAGATTATGAAGAAGCTCCGTGAGGCCTTTGAAAATGATATGCTGGCTGTTAATGTAAGTGCCAATGCTTTCTTCTCTACTGGTTTTCACATGTGTTTTCAGGCAGGACACAAGCCTCTCTAAGAATAGTTGTCATTCAGCTGGTGAGGAAGTGCCTTAGAATAGATCTGCAGAGTTATTCCTGCCTTCCTGGGGCAAGAGCATTAAAACAAGCAGGAAACCAACTAGTAAATTATGATAAATGCACTGGACAAAATAGTGTGAAGCTATTAAAATCTTTGAGGATTATAAAATGATGAATTGCTTACGATATTAAGAAAAGAGCAGATAGAAGTGTATTTAACTAGGGTTACAGTTATGTAAAATAGTATGGAGCAAAATGGAAGGCTACCTACAAAAATAAAAACAGCTGGTATATTAGGAAAGTGGGATTTTTTTCTACTTTACAAACTTTCTGTCATGTTGTCCTGTTACTTTTTAAATTTAAAAATGCTTCAAAAGTAAACTCTGATTTTCATCCCTGTCTTACTGATGTGCACTTCTGGATCACCCGGGAAATGTCAATCACCTTGGCTGTCCCTGATTGTTCCGGCAGACGTCTGGATTTGGGCTTGTCCTTCCTGTTACTGCTAACTGATTCTCACTTTACAATGGGGAGACACCAGTCTGACCTTCAGAAATCTTAAAAATCTCGTCTGTCAGCAAAGCCCAAGCCCAACTCAGAGGAGTCATTTGTTTCATTGTTTTTTATTATAATGTTCTGACATAAAAGAGGAAAGGATACTGCAATAAGTCGTCATATGCCTATAGTCCATCTTCAGCGGTTATCAACTCATGGCCTGCTTTGTTTCACCTAAGCCTCCATGTGCTTTCCCAGCCTCCCTGAATGACCTGGAAGCAAATCCCAGACCTGGTGATGTTTCATAGAGGAGTAAATGTTGACAAAGAGTTACGTAGGCTAAAGCCAGTGCCATCAGTGCACCTCTTTCTAAGGACCCTCCTGCTCAGGTCAGAACACTATCCCCTCCTCGCCCCAGCACCCCCTTAGCAGCCCACATCACATATGGGACATGATGAGTACAAGATCACATTGTCACCTTCTCCCCGTTTGTGTGTGTTTGTCTGTGGAAATATCCTCAGATGACATCACTGTCTTCTTTTGGACTCTTGACATCATATGATGTCATCCAGAAAAGCTACAAAAGGGTCTGGGTGCTCTAAGTATCTCCACTTAGCGTATCGTTTAGATTCATTCATATCTGTACCAAAGTCACGCGTTGACAGATGATTAACAGAATTACTGGATCTTATATATCAAGTGGGGTAAAGGTTAAAGAACCCAGCTCTCCTATTCCAAACATCCTAAAGGAAGGCAAGTTAATGGGTGACCATAGTCACAGATAAGAAAACAGAAAATGTTAGAGAACTGCTTAGTGTTCAGGGAGATGAAGGTAGGGGCAGGGTGGACACAGCCCAGATGACTGCATCCCTGTGCAGTTAATACCCACCCCCTGCCTAGGTGAGCATCCCCATGTTGAAATGTGAAATAAGTAAGCAAGTGAGATAATCACAACACTCGCAACTAAATGGTGAAAAATTCAAAGTTGTGAACCATCCTGAACCTGAGAATGGAGTTTACGTGTGTTATAGTATCCTAGTGAAAGATCTGATCTTTCTCTGGATAGAGTTGGAAAAACATATTAACTCAATATTTTTTAAACATATTCATTCCACAAGTATTTATTGAGTACTTACTATGTACCAGGCACTGAGCACACAACACTGAGGAATATAGTCTCTGTCCATGAGGAAGTTATGATCTAAAAGGGAAGGAGCAACTACACAGGCAAGTCAAATACCATGTGATGAGATTTCAAATATTATTTGAAGGAAACACAGGAATGTTGGTGGGGGCACACAGAAAGGTCACTGGAGTGGAGACCTTTGGAGTGAGGAGACACCTAAGCTCAGGTGAAACCCACATGGCAAGTAGGACTTAGGTCAGGAGGAAGAAAAGCAGTTTCTCTGCATGATGGATAATGTGTGCAGAGGCCCAGAGGGGAGAGAGGAGTGGGACTGGGCAGGGTGGGGATGAGTGGTTAGCAGGAGAGAAGATATGGTGGCCTGGGTCCCCCAGAGGAGCGTTGTTGGCTGTGTTAAGATGTGTAGACACTCTCAGAGAAGCTTTGAAGGTCAGCTTGAGGTTTGGAGAGCCCACCCCAGCAGCAAGGGGGTCCGTGAGGCCAGGGCAGAGCTGATTAGGAGACCGGACAAAAGATGGAGGTTGACTCAGGCAAGCTGGGCCTCTCTGGTCTCCTCCCCTCATCTTTTTCTCCATTTCTGTTCCCAGCAACAAGCCAATCTGATCCCGGGGTTGAACCTCAGCGCACTTGGCATCTTTTCAACAGGACTGTCCGTGCTGCCTCCACCAACAGGGCCCCGAGGAGCTCCCCCCGCTCCCCCTTACCACCCTTTCGCTGTAAGTAGCTCAGCACCCAGAGGTTTGCTCATGTTCTGGGCACCCCCAGGCAGCAGCGTTACTCTGCTATGTTGAATCAGAGCTAAAGCTTTAATTTGGAGGCTGTGCTCATAAGTGATTGTAGGATAAATCCAACATTTCTTAGGACTTCTTCCTAATGGACAGATAAGTATTATTAAAAATCCTCTAAATACGTGCTCTGAAACATAGTATATGTCATACCTAGGAAAGAAACTACAGTTATAGCAAATTCACTAACTAGAAGCCTATTATAAAAAAGGAAATTTGAATTTCTTAATTCAAATAAGAATCATGAGTATTGTTCATTTATTAAAATAATAGGGTACCTGGATGACTCTTGAATATATATATATATGTACATATATATATATACACATATATATATAACATATATTTCTTGCCTGTGTCTACAACTCAAATGCATCATATTTTATTAATAGACAGTTTTTGAAAGAAAATAATACACAATATTTGTTTCTAAACAGCACAATGCCTGGCATTTAGTAGGTTCTCAATAAGTATTTACTGAGTCCTAATTAACAACAAAAGAAGAAATGTGAATGTTCGCAAGTTTTCTAATTGTTGCTTCCATTTACAAGCATTATAGATCAATACGTTATCAAATTGGGGTTCAGGATACTTGACAGCTTTTTTTTTTCACTCCTAATTCTTCTGTATACGTATTGCTTATTTTTTTAAGCAAACTTTCTTTCCTCCAACGTTCATACTTTTTAGTGGGAAGAATTAGGTTGATGAACACTACCTTGGCCACTCTTTTCTTTTGAGAGGTGGTCTCTAGTGTAGGCATTGCAGCGTGAGCATTCCTAGTAGCTCTTTGGATTATTTGTAGAGAGGCTGAAACTGCTGTGCTCTTCTGCCAAGAATATACAGACATGAACTGGCACCCACATTTTTAGTCACAAGAATGTACACATTCTGTAGTCTTGTTTATGTACAGATCTTCTGAGCCATTTCTAAATCTTCATACCATTTCTTTGGAGTTACATCCATTTTCTCTTAAACTAAAGGATGGGGCCCAGTATTGAGCCATGTGTGTGGAGATGAGAGCTGGGATAAGTGGGATCTGGGATGTGACAAGAAGGATTGTGGCAGCTGTGACAGTCATGTGTCTGCTCCAGGGACTTAGAACAGTGATGACAGGTGCCTGTCCCCAAGTCTTTGCTGTGAGATTTAACAATGACCAAGCTTGGGACATTTCAGTGGTGTTGAGACACATCTCCTTTTCTTAGGAGAAAGGCTGTGTCTACTGCCTACAGAAGATAACCTCAGAACTTGAGGTAAACAGTGGGGGAAAGGTATGTTAAAACAGGCCACTTCTAAAATTGGTAATCTGAGGGGGTGAGCAAACCCTTACTCTGAGATTTGGCACAAGGGCCAGACTCCCCCACCACTTATTTTTGTAAATAAAAAAAAAAAATTTTTATGTTTTATTTACTTTTGAGAGAGAGAGAGCACACACATGAGCAGGGTAGGGGCAGAGAGAAGGGGGGACAGAGGATCCAAAGCAGGCTCTGCACTGACAGCAGTGAGCCCAGTGCAGGTCTTGAACTCATGAACCGTGAGACTGTGAGCTGAACCAAAGTCCGACACTCAACCCACTGAGCCACCCAGGCACCCCTGTAAATAAAATTTTATTGGAATATAGCCATGACCCTTTGTTTATATATTGTCTATTTGCTTTTTTTGCTATGATGGTGGAGTTGAGTAGATGCAGTTAGAAACCTAAATTATATATTTGGCCCTTTACAGAAAGAGTTCACAGACCCTTGAAATAAAACCAGGGGAGAAGTTCTCATGTGATAGCAGGATATTTTCTAAACTTGAAAATAAGGTTTGCCAGTTGGAAAGCTCCTTTTCATCTGAGATTTTCACTAAAACAGTACAATAACCATTTTACTAAATAAAATACATAGTTCCTGTTCTTCATCAAATAGATTTTACTTTCTTTATGAAGCTAAAAGCCATGTGGTTCTGATCTTGATCACATAGATCAAGATTAGATTCTAACCACAGCACATAGTTGCCCCAACTTTCTGTGACTCTCCTTCCCTGGGGCGGCTGTTGAAGTGCAGAGCCAGGGAATGGAGGTGGCCATCACTGCCTACCTGTGCAGGACCTAGGACAGGTCCCCAAAGCCACACCTGCAGTGCATTGCAGGTTGATGGGCCCAGGCATCCTGAGGACAGAGTGGGGTGGGAGCGATAGGCATGTTTTAAATACTTCTATTATTTTCTTGTCATGTAGGCTTTCAGATTTTCAGAAACCTTGGGTATTTCTTTCCTTTTTTTTTTTTTTTTTT